CCCATGGCACTCACCCAGTTAGCGTCTGTGAAAAAACCTCGCCATCGACTCACATCCCTTCTTTGTACCCACAAGAGGGAGGGACCAACTCCGGTGCGGTTAATCCTATATCCTACGACGACTCTTGCTCCTGGGGTATTCCACTACTCACCAACACTGCCACCACCACCACCGCCGCTGCAAGTGTTGGTTCTTTACCCGTCTCCCGTCAACAAACGCCCGTGTTCTGCCTCTCCAACAACGGCGCTGTCGCCTCCAGTCGAGGCGCCCCCGGCGCAGGACCGAATTCTTCTTCTGCTTCGTCCGTTAGTCCTCTGATGTATCGACAGAAGAAATTGTTGCCTCCGTCTGCCTATGCTTCCACGCAACCGCGTCAGCATCAACAGCATCAACAGCAGCAGCAATGCTACCCTTCTTCTAACAACACCGCGGTGGGTAGTCAGCGATACTCCTGGAGCGGTTTTCCGCTGGCATCTTCATCCTCGACTTCAGCCATGTCTGAAACCTCGAGCGGAGCCATCGGCTCTTCAGTGATCATGACCTTCCCATCGTCTGCTACACGTAGTTCTGGACGGATCCTGCAACCATATAATGGCACCGGAGCTGGGGGTGGTGGAGGGCAAGATCTACGGCTGCCTCAGTGTCGCCGAAACTCAGTCCAGGTACCTGCGACTTTGGCCCAATTTAACGCGACGCTCCAACGAGAAGCACAACTGACTCCACCTATTCTCACCCCGGCAACCGCTGCGGAGCAAGGGATTGAGCCACAAAGTAAGTATCAAACCGGTGAATTCTTAACACGTGTTCAGTGTCTGTGCTTATTGCAATTCTATCTGCGGGACAGTGGGGTAGTATTTGTGATTCCAGATCTTATCTTGATAGATATGCCCGTTCTTAGTCTTGGCTCTAATGTTGTAGCGAATAGGTAGGCATATGAGTGGTACATGCCAGAATACTGACAAGTACAGTCCACCCTCGGGTAGCGAGCAGTCCCATCTACGAGCAATTCAGGTAACGAGCGAGCCACTCCAAGAAATTTTGTCTCGATTAACGAGCTTCTGCTCAGGTAACGAGTTGTCGGTGCGTGCGTTTGCCTGTGTTCGCCGTTAGGTCTTGCTCCCAGGGCGTGAGTCCTTGGTCATCTGCAGCCAATCAGTGAACTAATGCAGTTTGATTGGCTACGTTTAGCAGGACGAGTGTTTCACATAACAGGCTCGGTGCCGGGACAGATTGAATTCGTTAACCGAGGCTCCACTGTGCAGGAAAGACTGTGTAGGGGGTCTATGCTGTGGATGTGCTCAGAGCACCCCAATTATCACACCCACTTCCATACAGGAAGAGAAGTGGAAAGACCAGTAGGAGTTGTGTACTGCGTACAGAAACTCGATGGTACTCTGAAGTCCCGATGCAAAGCAAGCCTGAGGCCTGCGCGCGCGTCTGTTTGCTAGCGTGCTGTGGGCGTGAATGCCTAAACGTCAGCCGAAAGTAACTCACTGGTCGCTTGATCAGTTGCTTGACCAATACCAGTTTGCGGCACCTGTCCC